ATATAATCCAAATTTAATCATGAAAAATGATAGAAAATCAGTTCATAATTAATTTTTATTTCATAAATCATAATGAGCCTTTTGATCTTGAGTTTAAAGATCATAAAGAAATAGACAAAACAAAAACAAAAACAAAAAATCGTTCTTCTTTTTTAAGAGAAAATTTGGTGCGCTAAAAATAGAGAGACATGTGGCACAGAAATTCCCTTAAAGAAGGGAATATATTTCTTCTTGGTACAGTATACCAATTGTTTTTTTACCAGAGAAAAAGGGCTTGCGAACATTTGGTACAGAATCCGCGCTTCAGGGAGGAATTTGATGGGGGCAAGTAAGCTTTTGAGTGGAAGGAAAGCAGCCCTTTCATTTTCAATAGATTCAACGATCGAATTCCTTATTAGGTTAAAGCATATTCATTTTAGCTCTTTATTGTAAATACTAATGATAATAATATGCCTAAGCAGGTTTATCAACACTAATTTCCAACTAATCTGAGAGTTCAAACTTAGAAAAAGGTGAAAAAAGTGCATATTGAGCTAATATATTCAACTACTTAATAATCCCTTTGCATTTTTTTTTTTTTTTAATAATCCCTTTGCATGAATTTGAAGGAATTCGTTAATGCTTGTGGAAGAGTTATGCTTAGTTAATTTTTATACTAAAAAGTTGCTTTAAGAAGCAGCAAGGAAGCCGTCCAAAACAAAATCTTAGGCTTCGTTTGGGGCAGCTTTCTCACTGCTTCTTAAAGCCGCTTTTTAGTATAAAAATTAAAATTTTTGTACTATAAAGCTGCTTTAAGAAGCAGTAAAAAAGCCGCCCCAAACGAAGCCTTAGTCTATAAGTTTTAAGGCTTCTTTTGGGACAGCTTTCTTATTGTTGCTTGAAGCAGCTTTTTATTATAAAAATTTTAATGTTTAAACTAGAAAGCTGTTTTAAGAAGTAATATAAGAGCTATCTCAAGCGAAACCTTAGGATTCGTTTGGGACAATTTTCTTATTGATTATTAAAGCAGCTTTTTAGCACAAAAATTTTATAGTTTTTCGATATAAAAATTAAAATTTTTGTTCTAAAAAATTACTTTAAAAAACAGTAAGAAATATGTCCTGAATGAGAGTTTAGAAATATAATGATTATTAGAGGCTTCCAAATAATTTTCAAGCAATGTTGCTTATAAGTCATGAGGAACATTTGAATTACAATCAGCATGATCTTATTATTCATATATATATATATATATGCATACTATTGGTTTTTATTTATTTCTTATCAAATTATAGCAAAAGCTACTATGACAAATTTTAGAAGAATTGAGAATTACAAATAAGTTTGACAAACTAAATATTATACCACTTTGGCCAGTAAGGAGAATCCACAATGCAGCTGTAATCTGTCTAATTCCTATGAAAATAATATTTCTTTTTTTTAGGCATTTAATGTGTAAATAATTGATCAACATAAGTAAATCTATGAACATGAATTCTCTAGATAAAGAAAAAACGATTATGTTTGTAATGGCCCTCAAATCAATCCATTGTTCCAAATGCCATCAAAATCCACTTGTTCTACACATGGAGAAAGATGGTTTTCATAAGATTGAAAGCTCCCAATCTCCTCCAGGTTCCTTTCTGAGCTCATTCCTGTATCCATTGAAGCACTGAAGACTGAGTTTGAGTTCGAGTTTGAGTAAGATATCTTCTCCATTTTTACACCAAATCCCTTCAAGGAAAGAGAATCTCCATTAGAGTTAGATGAAGCTCCCAACATTGCTTCCTCTTGTTGAAAATGGTTCAAATTTTGCTTTTCTGAACGCATTGAAAAAAATGACTGGATAAATTCATTTTCTTGTCCATCTGCCTCCTCCTTAATGTCATTGTCTCTTGAGTTGTAGAAGAAAGGAGAGTTTGTAAGAGGTGGCAATTGATCAGGATTATCAACTAACAAATCATCCACAAAAGAACTGTTCATCCTTTCTGCAACTTCCTGTTGTCCTGTGCTGATCTTTGTATCCTTCTTATTGTAGACCTTGCAAACAACCCATTCATCCTATATATACAGAAATCATTATCTAGATCATATTAGTTAATCATTTAATACTAATGCTTTATTCGGTAAAATTTTGTTATTTTGTGCTTTCATTTGTTCCATGAAATGAAGTGTTCATTCTAAGGGCATCTCCAACCGTACTCCAAACACATGAATGGAGTCGCTTGCGAGCCCCAGCTGAACGGCAAAATCTCCGGTATTTGGTTGCTGATGAACAGTGCGACATCAATATTGACGTTGCACTGTTCACTCGCGTTATTTTTCTGTCTCTACCGGATTTGCTGAATAAACACGCCAAAGAGGAGAAAGGCGGTTACCTTCTGCGAAGGAAGCAAAATGGAGTTCGATTGGAGATGAATCAAGCCATTTTTTAGTTTCACTATATTTTGGAGTGAAAAATGAGTTTTTCGGTTGGAGATGCTCTAAGGGGGGGGGAAAGTAGTCTAACCTGATGAGGTGTGGAAAGATTATTGTACTGATATTTGCCTTCAAGCCTGTACTCGTGCATGACCCATTTGGTCTTCATACCTCTTGGAGCTCTTCCACTATAGAAAACCAAGGTTTTCTTCATCCCAACAAGGACACCTTTCCCTTTGAATATCTCCTTATCCTTCCCTGTTGCTTTCCAGTAGCCAGATGATGTGGCTCTATTAGTCCTCATTCCTGTAGGATACTTCCTGTCCCTTTTGCAAAAGAAGTACCATTCTTTCTCTCCCATATTGGCTTTTCCTGTACACAAAATTCATAACAGTTAATGTTTAATTACCTCTTCAAAATTATACAAACATAATAACTATTTTAGAATTTATTAGTCATTTAAGTCACTTTGAAACTAAGGCTTCATTAGGGAGGGCTTCTCACTGTTCCTTAAAGGAATTTTTTAACACAAAATGAAAATTTTTGTACTAACAAAGAATCAAAAGTTTTTTTTTTTTTTTTTAAGTACCTGGAAGATCCCATGGCTCGCACTCATTGAAGCTTCCTTCACCAATGGCAATTGACTTAAAGCTTTGATCAATGACCTTCTCTAACAGATAGTGCGTTATAATCTCCTCATCTGTTGGATGAAATCTGAAGCCAGGAAGTAGGTGAAGGGAGTCATCCATAGTAATCCAAGATAGCAAAAACTTAAGAAATCCAAGAAAAATATATATAAGGAAAAGGGGTTAACAGAAACAAGAGAAAGAAGAAGAAGATGATGAGTGTTTAGGAGTTCTGGAAATTTGAAAAGGTGGAAGAGAAAGCTAAAGCCTTTTATAGGAGCTTTTCCTTTGCAAGAAGACCCGTGATGTGGAAGGCAATGGTGTGTAAAATCCACGTTTTCTTACTTATTTGTATAATATTGGATTCTGTCAACGATTTTTAAAAAGTGAGCTGATCTAATTTGTCCTCTCATATTTATCATTCTTATCTGTTACTTCTCTTGAATTGGTTTAATCGATGAAGTGAAGCTATTGTTCTAGAAAAAAATAGATTTATCATATTAATAGTTAAATTTTTATTAGTTTTAAATAAGAATTCAATTTTTAATAGCACAATAGAAAAAAAAAAAATTCTTATAGCCGATCCCACGGACCTCACATAATGAGAAAAATGTTTGATGATGGCATTATTTTCGGTCTTTATAATAAATTGTATTCGGGGAACGAAGAAATTATTATGTGTGGACACCGGACGGGTCGGAGAACAATCAGAATGCGCTATGTCACTCGGTACACAATAGTACCGAGTGCCGGTACAGAGCAAAAAAATGAAATGACGTGTTCTGATTGGTCTCCTGATGTCCTTCGGGATTCAGATATCCGCGCAGAATAATTTTTCTGAGGAACGGCCGCCCACTAGCTCAATGACTTTTTCTATATACGTTTTTCATAAACAAACATGTTCACTAATTCTTCACAACAAACGTCTGGTTTAGGCTCAGCTGTTCTCCGCTGAGGAGCCATAAGGGGGGCTTGTTCAGTGTCAAAAAGGACATCTTTCATGACGATGATGATGAACTCTTCTTCCAGACTTTTCAAGCCAATTAAATACTAATTCATCCCACATGTCCTCAATTCAAACTGGCTGAGAGAAGACAACCTGTTGTCTTTATTAACTGTGGGAATGGGCATAAGGAACTAATGAGGTCCCTGCTAGGGGTGCAACCGAGTCAAGCCGACTTGTGAGCTGATTCGGACTCGACTCGGTAACAGGCTCGACGAGTCAAGCTCAAACACAGTTTCAAGCTCGAAGGCTTATCGAGCTCGAACAGACATTGTACTGAACTTGTCGGCTCGACGAACCGCTCGACTGGGCGGGATTCGCAGGAATGAGCTTAGGACAACGCTGGATGGATGTGCTCGGGATGCAGATGGATGTGTTCGGGACGACAGATCTCAATGGCGGCGGAGCGGGTCTTGACATTGAGCTCGGGACGACGACAATTGTTGCATCAGCCCAAACATTTCGATGGCGACGGAGCAGATGTCGACGGCAGAGCTCAGAACGGACGCGACGAAGACGGACTGTGCTCGACCACAACGGACCTCGGGATGACAGATAACGCGACCCCAACGGACCTCGGGATGATGAATCACGACATTTTAAGCTCGGATTGAGCTCGACGAGCCCCTCAACATGAGACGAGTCGAACTCGAGCTCGGATTTTGAGCTCGACTTGAGTTCGAGCTCGAGCTCGTTAAATGGCAATCAAGCTCGACTCTACTCGACTCATTTGCACCCCTAGTCCCTACTTTCAAAGCTTGAGGCCAAGCTAATAATGAATCTTCTAATGATCAAAGTGCCAAGGTTCTGCCTGTAGCTTTTGGAAACCAATGCCTGAATCCATAGGCAAGACTCTGCCCGTAGCTTTATGAAGATGATGTATAAACCAACAGTAGGTTTAAGGAATTAAATTTGATTTTGTTTATTTCTGTTTAAAATTTTCTTTTATTTTTTATTTTTAATTTAACGATTCTATATTTTTTTAGCAAGTTTAAAGAAAGAACTGAAAAAATTCAAAAGACCTTATAGTGTTGGAAATTTTGTTTTAGTTAATATAGTGCTAAGATTTTCATATACTTTGAATTCAATAGAGCAAATTCTAATTTTATTCTTTAAAATTAAAATTTTAAATTTGTCTAATTAGTCTTCTTCATTTTCTAAGGATTTTTTAAAATAAATATAATAATTTATAATCCACTGTCTACTAAATACTACATCAAAGTCTTTTATTAATTTGTTGAGGATGATATGATTAAAAGCTCATGGTATTTTGAAGATTCGATAATTATGTTCCCACAAGAAGAAAATTTTGGCTCCGCTCCTATATATGTCTTAAAAATGTAAGAAGTTGGCCCACCACTTCTATGTGTATTTAGAGTTCTCTTAAGACAAAAAATTCTAAAAGAACATCCTTACTGAAGTTGAAGGTCAAAAAAGCCTAATGTGGGTTTCTTTTATTTAATCAGAAAATATTTATGTGCAATAATAAATCTATATTAAAGATTGAAACTTGTTGTGTCCTAGAATATTCAAGGCGGTAGAGAAATATAAAGTTTTGTGTTTTAGTTTTGTATGAAGATCAAACACACAAATAGATAAAAAAGTAGAGGTGTATCGTTTAAAAGAGACGCCAAAATTTTTATAAGGAAACCCCCAAAAGACGAAAAAATCACAAGGCCTTGCCTAGGCAAACTGATTCCAGTACTAGTGTTAGTGGTTGACAAAAAATACTCCCCTTCCTTGGAGGAGGGTGTTGGCTCAATATAACAAATACACATTGCATAAAGCTCATTACATAGTTGGAGAATGATATGATAATGTTATGAATAGACGATACTATCGATGCAGATCCCGATGCAGATCCCGATGCAGATCCTCTCGAACTATCGTATCTGCTTTTCTTCTCTCTATCTCTGTCTCTACCAGAATCATCTCGTCGTACCTCATCTCTCCTCCTCCTGGTATCCTCGTACCTCGATACCGGTGTTGCCAAGTCAATCTCTATCAATCGGGCCCGCTCCACTAGCTCAGAGAACTCATGTATCCGGAAGGGTACTAGTGGATGCCTCAGCTCTCTGTTCAATCCTTGCAGAAATCTATAGCATTTTTCTTCGGGAGTAGGAATCAGATGAGCAGCGTACCTCGCAAGTGCAGTAAACTCGGCCTCGTACTGCATCACTGACTTGCGGCCTTGCTCCAATCTCATGAAAGCTTCCTGCATCTGTCGCTGAGCTGACGGTGGTACAAACCACATCCTGAACACTGCAGTGAACTCATCCCAGGTGATCTCAGCATTGGTCTTCCC